GACTCGGAAAAGAACTATCAGAAATACGTCAAGAAGGCTGTCCTGTTGGTGAATTATGCCCTCATTCACGCCTCGCTATCCGTCATGATCCCTTGTCACTTGGCAGGCATCAAGCTCGTGAAAGCGGACGATTTTGAAACGTGGTGGTTTACAATTGAGGTGATGGGTGAATCCCTTTATAAAGTGAATGGATCTTGTAGCATTTCGTGATGCGGAACTGATGAAGGCGATGACCACAACAGGGAGAGGTATTCACGCTCCAATTTCGATTCGACGCTCAGTATCCGATATCGGCGCCAGCGGTTCAGTTCGTAGTCACTGATGGAAAACAATCACCTGTTCATCCTGTGCGCTCTTTCACCTTCTCTCCAAGTTGGGGCGCTAACTACGCAACGCTAGCACGTATACTCAAACGGACATGTACATCTCTCTCTCTCTACCCTGCTAAGCATCCTCTTATTCACGCGTCTCACCAGATATGCGCGTCAATCTTAGGAAACGAATGGTCTCCGGTGCTAAGCGTCGTAGCGGTGTGCGTGACTCTCCAAAGCATGTTGGCATCGTGCAAGGTACGTCACCCTTATCTCTGGATACCAAATATGATTGATTATCTTGTAGAAGAAAGAACGGTATGCTCCCATCACCCACCAACCCTCAAAGCTGATCTGACCCGACTTTTGCTCCCTTCTTACCCTAAAAGACCGGTCGACAACGACCGATACGTACGATACGCACCTGAAAACCCAAAGAAGGTTAGTCTCCTTTATATAATGCGCGCTCTGTCTTCTCACACTCACTTGGTTCTTGGTAGACCCGGTTCCACTACGACGGTACGTCGGTTTTCAACGATTATCCAATCTTTAAACTCACCCCTGTTGCTGATGATGAACCCCCGTAGACGATACGTAAGTCTCGTTCATGCATAAGATCCGCTAAAAGCTCATCATCGCCTCGACAGCGTATGAAATTCCAAATCCACTTTTTTCACCCCAACTTATCTTTCAACTACCTGCAACTTTCCGGACTGTTCGAGAGATTCTGTAATTCGACTCAAATGTATAATGTGAACATTTTTTTTTCTTTCTTTTTGCAAACCTCGAACTTGGTACCCGCACGGCATGTATCGCTGCCTGATCGGAGCCTCTGGTAGTCGATCGTTCCGTGTGACTCGGAGACATTCGATTTTTGCGAATGAGAATGTTTAGACACGCGAGCGACAGTGACAACGTCGCGTCGAGACAGCGGCACAGGGAGACGAGCCCGAACAAGCGCAACTTCATTGATTAACTCATATTCGCGGACCACTACCCCAAATGATAAATAAGCTTTTTGATCCTTCTTTATCGTACATAGTCCACCACCTTCACCACCCATCCCCTTCACCACCCATCCGTATCATCATCATCCATCTCACTCAAACCCACCTCAGACGGCCAAAAAGTCCAATTCTCAACATCCTCTTGCGGTCTCATCGCCCGTACGGCCTCCCGGAACACCCGTTCGGCATGGATCGCTGCGAGATCGGGAGCCTCGGGCAGTCGATCGTTCCGTAGCGGAGGTGTGACGAGACATTTGACCCGATCCGAAGTTGTTGTGGTTGCGGTTGCGGTTGCAGTTGTAGGAGGATCTCTCGAATGAGGATGTTCAAAGTAATAAGTTGCCAAGAGAGGTTCACGCCTGTCCTCAGACAACGACAACGTCGCGTCAAGGTAAGGCTTCAAAATCTCTTTCGGATCCCTTGCTTCCGTTCCGAGTTCCATAGCAAGGGCAATGTACAATATACCTTTTTTTTTTTATCGCGTCAGTCAGTGAATCTCGTGTGAGAGGAATGGTGGGGACCCACTTTTTCCTCTAGGCGCAGACATGGCACTCTCGCCCGTAACTAACACTGTAGCCGCTCTCGAGGTTGACCCTCCTGGAAGCGAAGAGGGAGGAAAGACGAGTATCCCCGTATCAATTGGTGGTAGTGGCGGCGTTTGGTCGTCTCGGTTTTGGTCCTCACCGTCGCCCTCTTCCACAACAGAGTTCCCGCGAGGCGAGAACGAAATCGGAAAATCGATAATCGCAATACACCTCGCAATCGACAAAGCCCTCTCTTCCCCCTCCGTTCCGGCCGCGACCCAGTTCAGATCCCATTCAGGCGGGAGGTACCCCGTCATACCAGGTGAGGCAATCACCAACTTGCAGAATAACGGATCCGGGACGTCTTCCACGTCAACCTTGCTCCACGTGCTGTCGTTCGGCTCGTCACCATCAGTAGCAGGAGGAGCACAGCCAGAAATGGACAAGATGCGTCTTCCGAGAATATAAATCGCCCCACTGACAGCTGCAGCGCGACAAAATCCTTGCGCAATCTCGCCCGTACCGCCATAATGACCCACGAGGAACGGAGAAGGTCCGTATCGTCCTGCTGCACGCATGTATTTGCGTAGACGAGTCAGCGCGGGTATCGTTGGTTCTATTGCTTGCATCAGTTACGAATCCAGACACAAAAGGGGAGAGAGAGAGAGAGACCTATCGGAGAAGTACAATACGCCAACGCGTGCCCGATAGCCTCAACCACATCCTCCCCAAGTCCAAACACCGTCTTCACAAACTCGAAAAACGACAAATCAGCTTGTTGTTTCTTCATCTCTGGTTTATCTTCAAACTCGCTCATAGCAAACGTGAGGAACCGCATGATTCGACGTTTATCGACTAGAGTGAGTTGTTTGTTTTTGAAAATGTCTTCTTTGGAACTGGGTACGCTTTTGACTGTGCCGCCACCGCTGGGGTGGTGGTGGGAGTAGATGCCTACTGAATCGACGAGTTTGAATCCGCCGTATTTGGAGACGCCGGAGGAGATGAGGGAGGAGATGATAGGTCCGACGGAAGGGATAACGGAAGGACATAGTGAGAGGGAGTAGTAACGCGAATGAGACAAGGAAGTGTTGCCATCACGGGTGATATGAGTGTATCGCGGTGAGGAGCTAGTGATCCACTGAACGAATTCGTCAAGTGATAAACTGGCTTCCTCTGCGCCGTAATACTTGTCAACATCAACATGGGCGACTTTGAACCCGGCTTTTGACAAGGCTCTGTACAAGTGAGCTCTGAGCTCTGTACGCGCTTGCTGCAAGCACTCACGCGGCGAGAATGGACTGAGTGAGAGACGTCCCTAGCACGACCACGTCAAACGAGTTAGAGTCCGAGTCAGTCATTACAGGCAAGAAGTCCCCGCCTGCCCTAAATATTATTGCAAACTATACTAGTACGAGTCACATGGTTCACGAAACTCTCAAAAAGGCATCGGTCTCGGCCGAGAATCCACTCAAATACCACTCCTCCTCCCGGAAAAGAAATACCGCATATCAACGAGTTTGAAGAGGGTGTTGGCGCTGCTGCTTCTTCTCCTCGGAGTAACCGTCGTCGCACTGCGCGTGACCATGTATTTTGAGAAGCGTATACGGTCAGAGAGCCATCAGGCCGTTTGTCGACTGTCACACCAACAATGTGTGATATCGTCTGGGATATGGATTCAGAAGGTGTTTTGCAGCTGATCGTGTTCTGCGGTGGCATATAGGACCGCAAAGTCGGGTTGGAGACACCCACAATGGACTGATAAGAGTTTAGTTGTGCAGTTAATTTAACTTCCTTATAACGTACATCGGGTAGATGTATGTCCCCAAACGACCATGCGATACCCCATCTCCGCGTTTCACCTTGAACAAACTCGGTGATAGCATAGTTTGTCACCTTAACAGGTAATCAACGAGTTGTTCACAGTCGGAGGGGTGGCGTTAGAGGCTCACCAAATTCTCTCGGAGAAGCTTGACTAATTCTACGGCAGAGGAGAGTTTACCCAGCATCGACGTGTACCATCTGGCAAAATATGCATGACGATCAAACCCCGGGCGAGCCTCAGTGGAAGGACACACCTACACCGCTCTTTATAGTCTAAACTTTCCCTCACTATCCGGCCTACGAAACCCAATTCACCACCGGGAGTGATCATCTCCACTTCCGCACCCGTACAAACCTATACACGTTAGCCCCAGTTTAAGCGCACCCCCAACACAACTCACAGCATTCGGCGGTAACTCTTTCGACGCAGCAGAACGCGTCATCTCATCCGCACTTTCATAAAACGGTGGATTACACATCGTAAACTCGAATCTACAAGCCCAGTTAAACAAAAAAAAAGAGAGAACCCAGTCACGAACGATAAGGCGGGATACGACTCCATAACCGATAAAATCCGATCCTCAGAGCTGGTTTTTACGAGGTGTATTTTCTCGCTTAGACCATTCGCGTCTACGTTGCGACTTGCGTACGAATAGGACGTTTTGTCGAGTTCTGTCGCGATAAACTTCCATCCAGCATCAACGCGACATCCGAGGAGAGGGTATATAGCCGACGCGCCCGTTCCTCTAGTACCGCCAATCAGTTTTTTTTTGTTCTTAACAGAGAGAAAGGGGGGACGGGGACGTACATGTCGATACCGAACGTATCACCACCACCAGGCCGATCAATGTATCTCTCATGAACTCGCACGACATCTTGTAGCCATAGAATGTAGTTTAGTCTATCAAAACATTGTTAGAGTGAAGGATTTGAGCATGCCGCGGACCTTACCTGTTGGGAATAGGTGGACAAAGCCGATCACCCGGCAGGACCAAGCTCAATCCGAAATCGCGATGAAGGAGCGCCTCCGTTAACCGCCTAATTCAAACTCAGCTGCGACCAAGGGAAGGAAAAAAAAGAGTCAACCTACCTTTGAGCATCGCTACTCTTAAAATCAATCGTACACCGTCCAGACGACCCAACGGTTTTCAAACTTTCCTCAATCTTCGATGAACTAGAGTGACAAAAAGATGCGTGATCTTACTGGGGTTTGAGTGGCGCATAGGATTTTGCGAGAGAGTTGAAATCGAGTGGTTGCGCGTAAGGATTTCGGGGGTGCATTATGCCAAGTTTGTGTGACGCGTGACGGAAGTGTCGGCAGAAGAAAGAAAAAAAAGCGACGCCAGCAGGATTCGAACCTGCGCCCTCAAAGAGGAACAGATGATCGACCGTTCAAACAATTCGAATCTGTCGCCGTAACCACTTGGCTATAGCGCCTTACGACACGGAGAGACCGCTTAGATTACGGGTTCGATTTCACCTACAACACTGACCTCTTTCCAATCCCACCACCTTACTACCCCCTTGGAGCTGAGCGTCCCCGCCTTCAGACCCCCTGGCACACGTCCGTAAATGGAAATAAATCCAGAGCAAAACTATGACGTAGAAACAGTCATGAATATGGAGGCGGTGGCTCATCGGTCAACCCTTGTGCCCAATCTGACGAACGCTCCATTTGTAACTGTGAGATTCGTGCCCTAAGCCGACGTATCTGTCTGTGGATGTCCTCCATCTCCCGTCCTGATCCCTCTCTTTCTAGTACTTCTCTAGACGATGACCTGACAGGCTCGCACTGCATTGTTTGCCTTGACGCAAGATTCTGCATTTCTCGTTGCGCAGTCCGGAGACGCATGTCGATCTCCATCTGACGTAATGCCCTGAGTTCGTCTCGGTCTCGGTCCTTCAACGTGTTGCCAGATGCCTGCGGTAGCTCTCGCCGAACGGGCACCAAGGGTACGGAGCCGCTGGCCAAGTCATACGAAGTGACGATAGAAGCTTGCCCTGGTACTGAGTGAAGGTTGCTCATCACGTCGTCGCGGTAGCCCTGGAGTGGTTGTTGATTGAACGAGGCAACGATGGGCTCAATCGGCCGTTTCCTTTTTATTCTCGAACGTCGGAAGAGAATCAGCGTCGCAACAAGCGCCAGGCCCCCAAGAACACAACCGACGATGATCCCCACATTGTTCAAGTTGTTGGATGATGAATTATGGGCTGCTGCAGATCCTGAGGTGCCAGTGACACTGCTGGTGGATGAAGGTGCTGAAGTCGTGGTACTGCCGGCGGATGAAGGTGCTGAAGTCGACGAGGTGGTGTTATCGGCCCTAGGTTAATGTTAGAACCGCAGTGCGGATGGGGCGATCACGGAATAGACGTACGTGTAAATGGCATAGTCAAAGTTGAGATAAACGTTGATCGGGTAGTCATTCGTCGAGATGACCAGTGTATGCTTGTCATTCCTAAGATTCTGGGAACTATATGCGGAAACGTTGTACTGATATCCAGGAGCGATCTCACTAGGCTGAGGGCTATAGTAGGTGTGTACGAGGAGGCCATCGAGGGTGAAATTGCAAGCTGTATTGGACGTAATGCCGCTTGGGACATCATTTGCGTTTTGGAGAATGAAGAATATCCAGATGGCGACACCTGCAAAGTAGAGCAGTGATGAATAATCGGGCAAACATTGAAAGAAAATTTCTAACCTGTAAACGAGAATGTAATGTTCATGTTGTTTAGGCCTGGATTGTATGTTGCAGCTGACCATGTTCCGTCAAAGGCCAGGGACTTGTTCGGATTATACAAACAGCCAGAGCAGTTCACACCATTCCAAGCGCCATTGGGCTGGTAGACGGGTACCTGACCGGTTACACCGTCGCCATAAGTGTCATCGATGGTTCTGTTGACGAGAACTGCCTGAGTGGTACAGACGAAGAGGAGAAGCGTGAGTAAGGCGAGGACGGTTCGTCTGATGGGCATGTTGTAGTCAAAAGTTCTTCATGTACTATGAGCGCCCGTAGTAGGGGAGCTCCACGATTTTCGCAGCTGCGGCTCTTGTGCGTCAATGTACGTATACCTAACGTAACTTTGAAACAAATCCAGAGCAAAAACTTGACCAGGTCGCCGTCAATCAAAATTGAAAATAATATAATTGCCAAAGATGAGAACGTAGCCATGACATCCAAACACTGGATCACCCTCCAATGTGCTTTATAAATTTAAGAAGTGCCAGTGTGTGAGCTACTGTGGCGTATGCCGACACCGAATCAAGGAATTATAGAAATCCTCACGTAACCTGACGACGTGATTTAGTTATTATACTCTTCGACCCAGGTATGGGATTTCCCGAGCGGTGACCGGTGACGCCTCCGCAATTACTCTGGCATAGAATCGGAGGAGGCTCACAGAGCCAAAAAAAAGATCGGAAAAGCGGGGAAGTGAACGTCAAATACATTTCATAATTGACCCAAAATACAAACACGAAAGGTGTTGTACATAGTGGTGCCGCGATATACGTACATTTGGTCAAAACATATCGTGACAATCAATCATATGCAGGTGGCGGCTCACTGGTCCGATTCGACCGTTGTCCCCAATCCGTCGAGCGATCCACTTGCATATTTTCTATCTGATTGCTAAGTTGACGGATCTGTTTGCGTATGGTATCCAATTCGCGGTCTTCTAACATCACTTGATGACGAGCCAGCCCCCAGGCTGCTGTAGATCGACTGCAGATCGTGCATCTCCAGTTGTGCGCTCTGGAGACCCTGATGGGCGTCCAGCTGGCGCAAAGGGCGGAGTTCATCTCGGCTCTTCGTGCTGGATGTAAGCTGGGATGGCTGGTATTCTCGCCGGAAAGGTACAAGCGTTGGGGATTGGCGGGCCAAGTCAGACGAAGGTGAACGGATATGGCTGGATTGATTGAATAATGTTCCAGACTCACGGAGATGTCATCGCGGACTATGGGTGGTTGCCGTTGTATTGCCAAAGGACGATGAAGTTCCAGATGGTTGGGTACCAGTGACGCCAGCCAGTGATACTGTTGGTGGACGAAGATCCTGGCGTTGACGAGGTGGCGTTATCGGGTTCATCGGCCCTGGGTTATTATCAGAACCGCAGATAGGGTGATGACGGAATAAACGTACGTGTAAATGGATAGTCAAAATTGAGATACACGGGTCGTCGTTCGTCGAGATGACCATTTCATGCTGGTTGTTGCTTAAACTGGTAACGTTGGGGTAAAATTGCAATTGTATAGACGTAATGCTGGTTCCGAGCGCGTTTGCGTTTGCGAGAATGAGAAATATCCAGATGGTGACACCTACTTTAAAGTAGAGCAGTGAATGAGTATTTGAATCGGGGATGGCATTGAACGGGTTCGTCGTTAGTATGAGCAAGATATGTGTCACGTTCATAAACGGCAGTATGCTGATCCTTGCATCAGCCTGTGAATGAGTTTTCAAGGAATTTAGAACAACTACAGGTATCCACGGCCATAGGACTCTGAAAGCACCGCATCCCGTCCGATCTGCGCAGTCAACCAGAGTGCCGCCTAGTTAGTACCACGGTGGGGGACCACGCGGGAATCCTGGGTGCTGTGGTTTTTTCCCGTCTAGGATCAGAAACCACGGGCATTGAAAGAAAATTTCTAACCTGTAAACGAGGATTTAATGCTTATGTTGTTTAGGCCCGGATTGTATGTGCAGCCGACCATGTTCCGTCAAAGGCCAACTTGGACGAGCTGGTAGACGGGCCACGTGCCATTACATAATGTGAGTGCTGCACCGTGACACCGTCCGCTTACCATCGAACATTTGACAAGTTAACTTACCATCCTGACGTTCTCTACGTCCCCCAAGATCGAAGGCACAGCGTACCGTGAGCATAACAGTGGCCACCGAACGTTGTCGTGGTATTCCGAACCAGGCTAGTCTAGAATATTCGTCGTGACTCGAGGAACCAGAGCATCGCTTGCCTTGATTCACCCTCTTTTTTGCTTCTTTTCGCACAACACGTATTGGTCAACGAAACCGGTCGAGGACAGGGCTCAGGCGGGAAGCGGTCGTTGTGCTACTGCATGATTCTTATTCGTGCTCTCTCCTTGTCGCTCCGCCGCTTGAGCCCCCCCACCGTAGCTCGCATGTTCTTCTCCTTTCAGGATCGTGGCAGGTCCTCGAACGAGCGCAGCGTTCGACTTGAAGAGCACGGGTCATCTTCAAGCTACGTCGTCCGAATAGAGTAAAAGCAACTGCAAATCAGGGAGTACATAGTTCATTGGGCCTCTGGTAAGTAGTACCACTCAGACTCCGAGTCAGTCTTGTTACATTCCATTTCAACTATTAATTACACAGGTCGCAAATATCTTTGAACGCTAAACTTGCATGGTTACTTAAGTGCGAAGCCCGGCCACTTTCAGGAAAGTAAGTTAGTACTGGCATTTATCAAGTTTCGGGATATAATAATAGCACAATAAGTATAGAAAATTGTTTTCAAGCTACTTATTCGACAAGGGGCAATCCTCACTACTATCCTCGAACGGAAATTTAAGTAGCCGAAGGTAAAAGAGGCGCAGCCAAAAGCCGCAAATCACCCCGTCTAAAGACAGAATTAGCATTCATTAATTCAAGATAAGGTCAAATTTGATAAGCTCTTACTGTGATTGTTTCGCAGCGAGTGGTCTGAGAAGCCAATCAGCTAACCTCCTCAAAAGCCGGGATTGTTCAGCTACTTACCAGACACCGTTGACGACGGGAAGGTTACCGTCGGTGCCAGGAAGGCTACCGACAGAGCCGACGGCTGGAAGGTTACTGGCAGTACCAGGAAGGTTACCGACAGAGCCAACGGCGGGAAGGTTACCAACAGAGCCGACGGCAGGAAGGTTACCAGCAGAGCCGACAGCGGGAAGGTTACCAACAGAGCCGACGGCAGGAAGGTTACCGGCATCGCCAAGACTCCCGGGGACACCGCCAATGTTACTGGTAAGGCCCCCGTTGCCTACAGAGTTGACGGGAGCGGCGGCGACGAAAATGGCAAAGGCGGCCACGGCAACAACAGCGAGTTTGGAGAACATTTTGGTGGTTCAAGGAGTGAGGTATTGGTAAAGGAGTGGCAGTGGTTTACTTGGGGTGCAAGAGTAAGTGAAGCTGCGAGACTTCAAACGGTGATGATGTTTGACGAATACCGGGCTCCCTTTTATGGGGCACTGGACAACCGAACAGAGGTGAAATATTACCATGCTAAAACAACGTAAAGTTATGTCACTGGCTCCACCTTTTATCCGAATTAGCGTGTGCCGCAAAGGCGAACAAAGTTCACTTACTTACTAGCTATCATTCATTAATCTCTGGTGACGACATGTTGGTGGGAAGCTTGGGTGACGGAATTCCAATCCGAAATTGGGAAATTGCTGCATTGACTGAAAAGTATTGCACTTTGGGCTTCCA